CAGGCAGGTTTGCAATCCTCCAGCCACTGTTGATGGAATAGCGAGTCAAGCTCATTGGCAGAATTTGGGGGAGCAGTCCACCAACTGGGGGCTAGATTCTTACTGTTTAACTCCCAATAACGATTGAGACTAAAGCCCTAATAGGTACGGTTGTTCTAGGGAAGCTTACAAGTATTCTAGCTGGACAAATAGGGAGAAGCTTACTAGGGTAATGCAATTTTAGATGATTAAACTCCAGATTTATTGCAACACATACCCTGGAGTTCATACATCTTGGCTCTTGCTGATTGTATCTCAATTCTCTGAGATTAGTTAGGCACTTTCCTCTGGGGTGAGAGTGTGGACTCTATACCAGACAATCTATAACCATACATAGCTGGACTTCTAATAGGTTTGGTTTGGAGATTTCACAAGCCATGGTGATGAGTTTTCCACACTGATTAGATACCATAAATTTATGTTTTATTTAGCCAACAAACACATATTTACTGTGGTCACCTATAAACATTGGATTTAACTCACTGCCACCAGTTAAGGCATTGAATTCAAAGTTAATTGAAATCAAACACATAACCACTTTAATGGGTTGAAATAACCGTGACCCAGAGAATTGACTGGATTTAGGATGGTGCCAGTAAAGGGTGGGAAAGTGAAAGATCAAAGACAACCAGATTTTACAAAGGCTGCCATTTTTATACCAATGAACCAATACACAAGATTAGAACATGCTGGTTTCTGCACAAATTCCTTGCCACCAATTCAAGAAAGGCTAGGAGATGCCAGTGCAGGGCGCTGCTCCTACGCTTATTGTTCATAAAGTGAAGTTCTAAAGTTAACACGATTGTTGTAAACAGACTAACAACTATCAATGTGTCCAAATTGAAAATTGTGCATGTTCCAGAAAGGTCTGCACAGCATGCAAGGTACACAGCACCAAAGAAAACACTTATTTGGCCAGAAAAATTAATATAACGCTTTTATCTTCTTACCAAAAGGGCCAGCACCTCCCTGGAGTCAGGCTTTGTCTGGTACATGTAACATACAGTTCTCATTTTCTTTTCAATTCCCTTATAACTAAGAAAACTCATAAAAACACTTCATAATCTCTTCATGAATATGTTTGCCAAATCTTGTGAAGCACGTGTGGACTATCCTATCTATATATTTTTTCTTACTATGTTACTTCGCCCAAAAGTTACAGTGTATTCTGTGAAATGTTTTGAGACGTGTCAAAGATGTGATAAGACACAAAACAGTACCGTTGCCTTCGTTTCTCTGGGTCTGGCCTTCTCCTCATCCCCCGAGTCCTCCGCTCCACCCTCGGTGGCTGTGCCTTCAGCCACTGTGCCCCGATGTTCTGGAACTGCCTTCCTCACTCCCTTTGTCTCGCTCCCTCCCTTCCCATTTTCAGGTCTCTGCTGAAGACCTTTCTCTTCGACTGCGCCTTTGGTCACCTTCCCCCCCCCCTCCCCTTGGCTCGGTCCCGGGATCCGTTACTGCAAAGTGCTCTGAGACGCTGTCCGGCATGGAGGGCGCTATATAAATCCAAGTTGTTGTTGTTGTTACATCAAGTGCAAGGATTATGCAAGGATTCTTACTATTATTACCTCATTCCACACGCCTCTGTTTATCCAGCATTAAGCAAGATCCTAAATGAAGGATTGTTTTCCTGTGGTAATCATACCTAAAAAAAGTGCTCACTCAATCTGACTTTGTGGGATACTGCTGTGTGCAATTGGCTGCCGTGTTTCGCCCACAAAACTCCCAGTCAATTCACTTTAAAATATATTCTACAAAGCGATTTGAGACGTCTCAACTATGTGATAAAGTGATGTATCAAACGCAAGGATTATTATTATTCAGCAGCTAAATCACAACCAAGGGCAATTATCATCTCAAAGAAAATAAATTATTTTATCAAGAGAATTTTAAAAACTCTGAGAGGCAACAATGTGTCGTCCGAATACATTGCATCCAGAGAGTTAGCAAGAAAACCCTACACAAACCAGTGACTCAAATACCTCCAGGGCATTCTCTGGAGCAATAAAAGCTCACAGGAGTCAAATGGTCTAATGTTGTCCGTGTCCAATTCATAGTGCATCCTTCAACCCACAGATCTGGCCAAATCTCTTCAACCAATATCTGATTCTTCAAACAGTATTATGGTTTGTATTGTTTTTTAAGAACAGATCATCTTGCAAGCCTCTATTTTACCTGCACGATCTATACTTCAATAGACTTAGGAACAGAGTTAACAATTGTTTATCTGCACTAAAAATAATAAGCCCGAATGTTAATACCAATCCATTCACGGCATTGGTTAAATCACCAACGGGACAAACCAATTAGTTTTCATGCACAATACTTGCACATGCATCAATATGGTACGAGTTATTTAATATATTCCATGTTTCAATTGGCAGCAAGTGAACTTGTAACATTGACGATCACTGTATCCGTGTAACACAGTAAATGCGACGTAATGTGAATCAAAACTCTTATTGCCCATGCAATTCAGTTATCTATTCCAACAGATAAAATTCTTTCTTTGTGACTATAAGCTTCTGTCAAGGAAGTCAAAATATCCATTTATATTGCTGCAAGCAAATAAGAAAAACGCCCAAAGCATATCACCATACCGCTCTTTGCAAAGATCTCGTTGGGCATCAGAAGTTCAAAGTCTGTATTGATTAACCAAATGGCTCGATAGTTGCTATGGAGAATGGAGTCAGCCATTTTATTGATGAGAATGAGGAACACTCTTGGTTCTCTTGGATAACTTGAAACAATATCTTCAAACGTGAGTTGGAGCAGAGTACTGTAGGAAAGCTTATTATCAGTGCTGACATAGCTTCAGAATTCCCTCGGCATTTCCCCACTGCAGGCCCTTGCTGTGCAGGGCATCTTGTAATATTTACTGCTGCAGTTGCAAACCCTGACAGGCGCAGCAGAGGGAAATTTTATCAGCCACAAAATGAGCTCCTAAATCAGATCAGGACTGCTCATCTGTCAGTACTAAAAATCTAAAGGCGAAATGTTGGGCAAGTTTCCTTACTCCACATACAGTGGAGTAAGAAAACTTTCTTACCCAGCAGTTAGGAGGAACCCGGTTGTTAGTTGCTTGGCAGATCACCTTTCCAGGGGTAATAATTCCTTCAAAAAAAAATAAAAATTAATAAACTCAACTCACGACTGCTGTGCGCAATTGGCTGCCGCGTTTCACCCACAAAATCAATTCTCTTTACAGTACATTCTGTGAAACGTTTGCGACGTCTAGAAGACGTGATAATGCGCTGTATCAAATGCAAGGATTATTATATTTTTATTATCTAGTGGCATTCTGACGTGAGGTGGGACTGGCAGCTGTTTGCCTGAATCAGTGCTCTCTCAGCAGTTTATTTTGTAAGATTTTATATTTTGAGCCAGTCCCGGTGCTTTCTAACTGTGAAATCAAGTGTAATTTGACACTTTGCTGTTTAATGCTTCAAGGAAAGGCAATGTGTTCATCTATTAGGCTCAGAGGCGATCATATTCAAGTCACGTCATATTTAGGGAGGTGCTCGCAAGTCCATCTAACAGAGCATGTGTTGGTTGACGTGTCCAAAAATCTTTTTTTTTTCATTTTTCTCGTGTCAGGCAGTGGAATTTTCTCAACAAAAAGGCAATAATTTTTTTNAAGACATTGAACCATGAGAAGTGCAGGACCTATCACTGTGAATGGTGTTATTTCTAATTAACTCTGAAGGTAATGTAACAAAATACTGTGAGAAACTCGCATGCATAACATGACATAAGTCAACTTTGTGCCAAATCAGAGGAAGTGCCGACGTATACATAACTTTTGTATTACGCATATTTTTTTCACCCATAAAATATGGTCAATCCATATTACAGTATATGCTGTCAAGTGCTTTTGAACATGTCGATGACATGATAAGGCACTATATCAAATGCAAGTATTATTAGATCGCACGGTGTAGCATCTATACGAGTCTGTGCCACACGCGCTGATGTGTAGCAACAGCGGGAAAAAAAGATTTTGATTAAACGTGACCTTTTTTTCCCCGAGGTTCTGACTCAACTCCAGCAGTCCATGCAGGACTTTGACTAAGGAAGAAAATTAGATATATCTGGTCGTGATTATCACCTCAGATAACAATTTATTTTGAACATAAGTTTTCCCAAACACCAGACTTGTAAAGTTGCATGTAATTAAAACTGAGCCAGCCGGGTTGTTCAAATTAGTCATCATCTCTCCACCTCACTGATATAGAAATGTGTCGACTAATAATCCCTGCATTTGATATAGCGCCTTATCATGGTTTCAAGACGTCTCAAAGCACTTCATAGAATATACATAAAGTGAATTGACTGTATATTTTGTGGGAAAAACGCAGCAGCCAATGGTGCACCGCAGCGTCCTACAAACAGTCGTGGATCGAGTGACCAAATTATTGCTATTATTTTTTTTTGAAGGGATTAATATCGCTGGAAAAGTGATCCACCAATCGATTAACAACCAGGTTCCTATTTACTGCTAGGTAAACAGAGGTGTGAGGAGTAAGGAAATATGCCCAACTACATTATAATACTTTGGTTAATTTAGCATCTGTCATCTGAGAAGTTATAATTTAAACTATGTGTAGAGATATGAAGCAATCATCATAGTTATTTAAAACAATGTTGACAGACGATATAAGGAGGTGAGGTTATTCAGGTAACCTACTTCACCCAAACATGGTTAAAGTAGGTTACATTTATGAAATTGATTTGAGCAGCGTTTCTTCCAGTCTTTTCTTCTGTTTTGAAACAATAAAATGCCACTTATTTAATGTGAAACTATGTGCAGTAATTAAGAAATAAATTTGCACCCGGCCATACCGTACAGTTTACATTTATACAGTGCCTCTCATGTTAGGAGGATGTCCCAAAGTGCAGGATGTCCCGGGCGCCTGAGTAAATTCTTGAGAAAAAAAGATCAGGTAGGTGAAAGATCATTGTTTTGGAGCAGGTTCTATTTAATGGTTTGGGAAAGACATCAGAGCAAAGCGATCTTCTAGCTCTGTGCAGAGCGCTAGTCTAGATATCTGCTACACATCAAATAGTGCATGATTGCAAAGCCAATTCCTGTTTATCACACTTATTTTCAAATAATATTTCGGTTCTTCTATACCATCAATTTCTAAGCACACAGCTTAGAAAACAATGCTGATGTAAAAAGGCATGCAACGGAATCATACAATTTAAATACCACAGGAGGTTTTCCAATTATCGACACAACAACACAATTTGAAGTTCTGGCTTAAAATTCACTACAAAAAGAACTAAGCAGCCAAACCAAATCCAAACTTAAAAAATACTTTTAAAACAACACACTAATAATAAACTGTCTGGTGCATTAAAAACACTTTCCAGCTCAAAGAGAACATTTGGTTTAAGCAGCATTTTGCGAGGTGTCTTCATTCGGCAGTGCTGGTTGGTCGCTTGAGAATGGCACTGTACTTGAGAGGTCCACTGTCTGATTTTAAGATGACCTCCACCAGTGTAAAAATACTTATTACCTAAATGACAAAGTTCATTTTCACGTCAATACCGAGTTAAACTTCAGCTATTATTGCAAGCAGGTTTCAAATACAACTAGACCTTTGCCAATAGGTCAAGTTCCATTACACCTCACCCACCATCAAGTCATTAGTTAGATTGCCGAGAATCCCTGAGACACTATTTGTTAAACTCAGTGAACATCACCGTTTTATTATCTGAAAATATGAAATTCAGCATTTTTAATTTAGATAACAAACGCAAATTATGAATGATTTTCCCTTTTAAAAAATAAGAAAAATATATAACTATGTTGCAAACTAGTTTCTGAAAATAATTACATTTTTATATTGCAAGATCTGCAATGGAAAGTAAAAAGATAGTTTTAGTTTTGGAATACATGTTCCTTAATCTCCACATAGCAATAAAATAGTTACCTGCCGCGCAGGTTCATGGTTTGAACCCTCTGGTTCCCACATCAGTGTTAGTTCGGGTTTCTTTCCTACTTTGTGAAAAGTAAATCCTTGGAGAGGAAGAGCCTAAAGTAAAAATGCAAAGGAGGGGGTGGATATGTAATATTAATTGAATGGAAGAAAATCCTTGGCAGTTTGAAAAGAGAAAAAAAAGGGTACATGATGAAGTGATTGATGCTAGTGCACAGATTTTCCAGGTTTTTCCAAGTCCAAAATCAAGGTTGCTACTTCACTTAGAGACAGAAATTTCCCCTCCATATTTAACCTCTCCCCAGGTTGCTCTCATGTTCCTCACTTTACTTGTAAGATCCTTTGAATAGGCAATGCCCTTGGGAAGTTCTGCAGTGGAAAATGTTATTCGTAATTCTTAAATTACTGCAGAAATATACATCATGCGTTTATAGCAGCAGTTCAACTTAACTGTCTTAAAAGACCTTAAATTGTGACTCAATATTTATCTAAAATAGATTTTAAAATTGTTTTGATTTTTTTTAGTCCATAGCAAAAACTCACAGGACAAATCCATGAGTCTTCTATTAGTAATTTACATTGTTTGCAGAATATTGCTGGAGTAGAAGGCACACATAGCCTTTCAAAGAGGACATACTTTGAATGTCACTGCAAGCAGAAATCGACACTAAAAAGACTGAAATCACAGCTACTATGTCCCCTTACATGGGGATGGAGTCATTCTCAACAGAGTTGATCTTGGGAATTTAGCTCCTTGACCCACACTAGAACGTTCAAGGAGTGAAAATTGTCACTTGGAAAAACTGTCACTTGATCCAGCTAGAAAGAATTCACCATCCCTCTGACTTGGCCAATTTCCACAGCATTCTTATCTAGGTCACACTTGATGTCACAAGACAGGACTACACCTGCATGCCGCCCAACTGCCCAATTATATTCAACTGCATCATCTTAATAGATCTAAAATAATGAAGATTAATACTGCTCACTGCAGTAGGTGAAAAACAAACATTAATTACATTTATCGAAAAGCTGGCTGAACAGGTTTTATTATCTTGGTGTTAAACATACAGTAACAAGAATAGGAATAGGAAGGGAGACAAGAGTTAATAAAAATCAAAGCTCTCTTAGTAAATATCTAGATTCAGTTGACCAAAATGCATCTAATTAGTTCAAAGAAAACATCTAGAGAGGGAGGGACAGTTATTTCTTATTGCCCGCCAATTTTTGTCACTCCAATTCTGATGGACTTTTCCATTGCCCAGCTGCAAACTCCACAAACAGCAGAACTCCACAGCCAATAGCTGCTCCCACACTGGGTTCCACAAGCCCATCACCCGCAACTCCACTGGCTCCTTACACCCCAACTGATCGATTTGGACTGTTTAAGACCTGCAGGATTTTGCCCCACCCTGTCTCTGCAAATTCTTGAAATCCTACTCCCGCTGCCACTCTCTTCACTACACCAACCAGCCTACCTCATGCCGTCCATTCACTCCATCTCAGAGCATCGGCAGATGAGTTTTCAACCATTTTGCCTCCTGCTCTCTGGGCCTCTCTTCTGAAATCCCTGCACCTCTGCCTGCATTCTTTGCTTTCATAACCAGTCGAAGGATCTCTCTGAATGTGCTTTTGGTCACCTCCCCAGCTCAGGCTACTAGTCACTTTGCAAAGTGCCTAGAAATATTCTCTCTACATGAGAGGCATTATATAAATGCAAACTGTTGTTGTTTTTAAGCGCATGCCAATTTTCTATGAAGTGTAAGGTTTCTTCCTTAGTTTTTTCAGCTCCACCACATCGCAAGAACTAAGGTAACCCCTTTGATCTGCTCCATTAGTCACCCATCAATGAATCACAATCATTTGACAAGAGCTTCAGAACACTAGTCAAAGGGGAAGTGCAGTGGTGTCAGTTTATTTCAGTAACAGATCATTATGTCTACAATTTTCCTAAGAGCTGTTAGATATCAAACATTTGTTTTGAGTTTTCGAAACGCCCTGAGCTGCATTTTGCAATTACTTCATTTGAGAACAATGCACCCATACGTACCAGCTTTGGGATCAATAAAAATGTTGTATTTGTATAACCCCCCCCCGCCCTCCCATGCAGGGTAGCATCTTAAGAGCGCTTGACAGTGGCGGAGAACAATGCCGAGCTGAGGGGAGGGGGAAGTGAACGTAGACATGGTTGAAGAAGAAGGTCTTCAGGTGCAATCTGAAGATGGAGAAGGAAGTGGCAAAGTAGAAAGAGGAAGAGCGTTCCAGAGATTCGGAGTGTAGTGGCTGAAAGCGCGGCCACTGTTGGTGGAACGGAGGGCATGAGGAACAAACAAGAGTCCGGAGCCAGTTGAGTGGAGGCAGCGGGTAGTAGCTTGGGGAGTAAGCAAGTCGGAGAGGTAGGGAGGTGCCAGGGCATGAAGTAATAGTGAAAAGGTGACATCCTGATAATTGCAGTTAAGGAGTAAGTTTTGTTTCTATTGTTAACTTGGAAAATTCTACTTGATTCGGAGAATCGCCTACACTGACAAAATTGCTTTTAAAAATAATGTACTTAACAGTTACTGTATCTGGAAACTTTTAAAATACACATCAGAATATAATCTGGGTGACTAATTTGGAAAATATGTAACCTTTTGAACATTTCTCACAAACAATACTTACATTGCAGTAGATTCGCTTCTGGTTGCCATATCGTAGAACCAAAACATCAAAGGCTTGATCTAGGACCCCCATCACCATGGCTTCGGATTCCAGTGGGCCACATTCCTAACGCCAAGTATCAATAATCACAATCAGAATTGAACACAACCGCTGAACACATAAAGAATCAAAAGATCCTCCAAAAACACATTGAGCAATATTGGTTTGTGTCTAGTTATGAATTACCAGGTTATTTTTTTAATGTATCAACCACAAAATACACTTTACTGTATGTTCTTGAAGTGCTTTGAGATGCCTCAATGACGTGATAAGGCGCTATATCAAATCAAATAATAAATAATTATTATTATTTATATTTGACAATTTGGACATTTTAGGATAAAAAAGTCTATAAACAGCAGAGGTTGAGCTCATTGCTGATCACAAATCCAAGGAATAATTCATTGGATATTATATTTTCCTTCACCAAATTTTTGCCTGCCATTTAAACATTGTTGAAAATGATCATCATAAATTCAAAAAGAAAAAAATCAAAGCATTTATTGGATTTTGTTACTTATTATCCAAAAGTATCTCCAGTTTTTTCTTCATACCACATAAATATGCAGGAATAGCAAACATGCATGATCATCAACTGGATATGAAAAGTGCACCATGACCTGTATTCATATGCACCTGCATGGTTAAAATAAAATACAACTTTTGTAAGTAACTAGTTTGAAAAACAATCTCTTCTAATAAAAGCACCAAATTACGTTATGAAAAGCTGCAAAATAAACTGGCAACGACTTTAATTGAAGCAGTTAATCAATTTGTTCCCTATTTCCTACTCGACATTGGGCCCATAACACTGAACTTAATTCTTGGCAATGATCTTTATTCATCAAGTTTCCAAATTTGCTTGTTTAACTTTCCCAAGTACATTTTCATTTTATTTAAACATGTATTTACTTTGGAAGAAAAAATATTTCAGACAAACATTTTAAAGTCTTTTCTTATTTGAGTTTAAAGAAGACCTGAAGCAAAACTCTCCACACAAATAAATTCTTAATAATAAATACAATTTTAAAAAAACTATACAATTGTATGACTTCTCCCAGCATCCTGGCCAGCAATTCCCCAAATAAATGGCTTTTCATTTCATGGCTGGCTGTTTGCAGACATTGCAAATGTCAGCTGATTAGCTGCAAAATAGACAGTCACTACACTTCATAGTATATCCTGTGAAGTGCTTTGATATATCCTTCTGAATTGAAAGCTCCTGTATCAAATGTAAGTATTATTATTATTATTATTAACTGAAAATGCTGGATCTGGAATTTTAGAAATGAAGTTATCATGGCAGAATATTACAAGGCTTTTGAACTGTAATTTAAAAAAGTATGATTTAAGCTACTTTAGAAATCTATCTACAATTGAACGATTAAAGCTTATATTAAATATCATAGTGGATAACTGAAACTATTTCAGTAAATATAAATATGGAAGATAAATATAATTTATGGAATAGAAAATGTTTCCCTCAACCCATGACTTGCATGGGAACAAAATAACATTGATTAACCATTAGTAAGTAGTCTAACAGACTAACTGTCGTCTCCCAAAGGTGAAATTGAAACCAACAAGAACTCTTTTCTCTTCTAACTTGTATGTTGGCCTTTCACCATTCCAGCAAGAATCTGAAGTGAGAGACTGAAAAGTACCTATTTCTGGCTGAAATGGTTCCATATAAACTTAGCTGCAATCAACATCAAAATCTTTTCAAACTCAAGATTTGTTTTGAATAAGGAATCGTGATTCATTTGATTCCCACGGCATGAGGGTATTAATACACTGCAGGTTCACTCGATTCTCAAAATGTTGTGGGTTGCAATGTCTACATGTCCAACCGTTATTTCCATTTGTGGTATATTTGAAGTTTGGGGTAACCTGTGATTTCCATTTACTGATAACTATTCTAGGTTGTGGCAACAGTACAAAGTTTGCAGTGCAGTAAGTTGAGGCGTTTTAACATAAAGCACAGCAGGTGTTCAATTCTCAAATGTGCCCAGCTTTAATTATAGGAGATAAGTTAACAAATTACGGTTCCTTTTATTTCACAAATTATAATTTATTTCCTGATAATCAACTTTCAAATCACATTTAATCCTGTTAATAAACTGCTGGTCTTCAAGAAATACCATGACCACCAGAGGATGGGGAAGGTGGCCAAACACAGAGCAAAACCTCCTTGCCCCAAGCTACTCTGTGCAGATAAAAGGCATCTGAGAGCAATTACAATGCACCAACCTAACCCCAGATTCAGACGATTAATCACAAGAGCTCTGCTGTCACAGGTTCAGGAAACAATCTGACCATTAATGAAATTATTATGCTCCCATCATTTAAAAATTGTACTGTTATTATCCCTATATGAGTTCCAAAGTTGGATTATAAATACAATTAAGGCATGGATGCCATAACTGTGAGAACATTAAGTTTCTTTGTGTTACATATCTAAAACAGTTGTAAAACGTATATATCTGTTAAAAAGCTATCTGTGCACAAATCTTACCTTCACAAAAACAGTGAAAAAAATCTCAGTGCTATGTTCTTGTACTCTCTTTGAAGCAATTTTTTTCACATTGCAATGTTCTGCTTGCTTCTGAACATCTCTTTCACTTACACCAACATGTTGCTGAGTATCTAGAAAAAGAAAAGTTCCCATATAAAACCTGTCTTGAGTGCTTTGAGACGTCTAGAAGACGTGAAAAGCGCCATATCAAATGCAAGGATTATTATTATTATATAGTTACATAGAAAATGGAAAAAGCTCCCGTGGTTTCTTAAGTCCACAGTCAGGATAACTTTCCTATTTCACCTCCTATCCAATACTCCACTATTATTATTATTACTTATTATTCTCCTCTGTTTGTTGCCCAGCTAGTCTCACAGTGCATTCCCGCCCAACCCCTCCACTCCCTCCGACGACAAAAAAAACAAGGTTAATTTTTGGGGAAAAAAAGTCCTTCCCAAAGGAGTGAGCTCCAGGGGAGGGCCAATCCCACATGGGCATAAGTCATTATCAGGAAGCTCACAGGCCTGATTTCTTTACAATACAAAATTAGAGATACACATACATTTTTTTACATGCCAGTTATACAATACACTTTGCACTAATAAAATCAGATTTTTTAATTAAAACAAGGGCAAATTCTGTAGGATAACTAATTTGAGATGACTGGACCGAATTTAGACAAGTGGTGTGAAAGCACCTCAGAGCTAACTGCTGAGAATCGTTTCAACAAACTTGTTTTTATTTAAAATGTAGATGATCCGCTTTGTATTAATATTAACATTATTAAAGTACCCTAATAGCTTTCTGCTAACTGTAAATTGGAAGCAATTTATCCCAAATTAAAGTTGAAAATTGCTTATGTGAGTGTATGAATATCCCTTCAACATCCCCCAAATCTTGGGGGCAGAGTGGCCGAAGGCTCTCCCGCCAATGGTGGGGCGGGTGGGTTGGGGGACGTGGAGCAGATCAGAGCTGACTGAGCGGAGAGAACAGATGGTTTGGTAGGGGGTTAGGAGGTTGCAGAGGTAGGGTGGGGCGAGGCCATGGAGGGCTTTGTATGTAGGACCAGGATCTTGAACTGGATCCTCTGAAGGATAGGGAGCCAGTGGAGTGGGCCAGAATGGTCACGGAGTTTGGTTCGGGAGAGGACACGGGCTGCAGAGTTCTGGATTATCTGCAGCCTGTGGAGGGAGGAGTTGGGAAGCAGGGCGTTTGCATAGTCGAGCAACAAACGTGAGGTGTTGGCACCGCATTAAAGATCAATGTAACATTTTGAATTCAGCATCCAAATGCACATTTCAGGTGGTGTTAATATACATGTTCTCACTGACCTGAGACAAAGAATGTTTAACCTACCAACTGTGGCAGCAAGAAGTCGATGTACAATGATATCAGCGTAGCGGCGGATTGGAGAAGTGAAATGGGTGTAGCGAGGGACATTCAGTGCATAATGTCGGAAAAGTGTCTCATCATGAAGAACTCCAGTGCAGAAATATAGTGCCATCTGCAAACAGATTAAGTTTTCACTGAACTGATCTGGATTTTTTTTAAAACAACAGACTGGTTGCTCCACAGAATGCACAATTTATGTAGTTTTTCAAATACATTTGAAGACAAGTTAGATATTATGAATGCATAACCTTAATTCCATTTTGCTCCAACTTCATAAGATTTAGTAATAAGATGGACATAAGGTCAACAAAATACAAATCGCAGTTGTAATTTCTAAAATAAAAATGATAAATTGGATCGCAACTCTCCTGCTATTCTTCAAATTTCATTATTGGAACAAAAATATTATTTTGGAATTTGGAATTTCTAGTTCTCAGATCAGTGTTTTCTTTAGTTGGGACGCAAAAGTTTATAGAAAATGTTTTGTGCACCTCCTCGATCGTCCAGTGAGAAAACAACCATCACTAAGCCTTACAAATGGCTGATTTGCATCCATGTTTGTGTTGAATTGGACAATCTCAGTCAGGGCAGCAATATGGAGGTGATACAATTAACTGCAGAGCTCCAAAAGTGGAAAACTAGACACTCCCCTGCTCGATATACAATCCGAAATGGTTTCTACTTTAAACTGATGACTGATTTCCTTGGATTATCCTGCAAAACATTTTTTTGTTTAATTTGAGAAACCAATTGAAAGAAATAAACTGCGTGTGACCTTCAAAACGTTTTGTAATCCCTGCAGAAATCCTTTAGTTTTATCTTCACTCCATTTTTTTCACTTCTCCATTCACCCTCTCCTGCCTCTACAGGAGCTCGGTTTCACAGGTGCCTCCAATACCTCTCCCAAGCGTTATTTACATTTGAGCCTCACCAGCAAGTATTGACTGAACAGTGCATCACAGCCAAGCTCGATCCTATTCTTATCCAACAAGCAATGGCCCTCTTTCGAGTGGAGGGTTCTAGTTTTCCGATCTCTAATTTTGGACCAGTGAGGTTAATTGTATCACCCCAAATCTGCCCCGTCTTGAGAACCCCTAATGCAGCACAGACCAGGATTCAAACCAACCTTAAAGTATGGCTTAATACTGCACTGGACCATTGGACCATCGAGGAGGTGCACAAAACATTTTCTATATACTTTTCGTCCCAACTAAATAAAAGAAAATGCATGTGTGGCAAAACACTATTTAATAGGGCACACTGTGTAGACATCATGCTCCGCACATCCAGTATCCCTGGCAAGCTGTCAACTGGAACAGAGTATCTTTTGAAAACTAATAATTGAAACTATTTAATAGTTAACAGACATATTTATTAAGTTTCCCTTGTTCTGAATGGATTAAGGATTTAACTTCAGCTGGAGGTACCACGTATATGGTGTCATCTGCAATTCTTAAAATGGTGTAGAAGTTCCATAGGACTGGAAAATGTTCCAAGATTATATACAATTACAAGGAAGCAAATACAACTAAACTTTAAAAGTAAGCCAGAGATATATAAAGGTTTTTTTCTTCATTTATAGTATTTTTAGAATACAATTTGTCACCTTTTTATTTTCTGTTCCAGCCTACTTGATCATGCAAAAGGATTAATTAATGAAAATGTAGTGAGAAAGACTAGATTGTAAAGTTTAAAAGCATGCATTGGAATACATAATCCTTTCTTATGTCTATACATTTTTAAAATTGAAAAAAAATAAGCAATATTTATTTGCCAATAGGATATGTATTAGTCAATAAAATGAATATTGATGAGAATGTTACTTAGCTGTATATTTCCAAAGAGTTCTATAGTGCATAATATCCAGTCAAACCATCTTCAACAACCACTCAGGGACTGGGACAAAGCGCCCTGTGTATAAGGGTGGCCTCTGATCAAGCGTATGTCTGGGCTGTTCCAGAGTGGTTATTACCAGGGGTGGCTGCTGAATGGATGTTCTTGTTTGAACAGGCTTGACAGTATTTATAAACATCAATGGTGCTTACACATTTTTTTCCCCCTGAAGGACAAGTGAGGTGTTGGTCAAATCCACAGGCTAAATTGCTTTGAACTTAGGAGAATGACCACACTTAAGTCAAGCAGTCAAAAAGCAAACATAAGACCTTTCCGAAACAAATCCATGACCAAATCAACTTTGTCCCGCAAGGTTCAATATGTGCTATATTTTGAACAACTGGTTTACACCATTGCAACACCAACAGAATTATGCTGTCCTGTGAGGGGTTGATAAAATTTCCTCAGCTTTGTTGCTATTTTAATACGTCTTATAATGAATTAAAATCATGGGACAGTTCCTTTATTTTTTCCATAAGATGGAACATCTTGAATTAATGGTCCACAGCAATGATTCCTTCTGCAATACTCGTCAGTTTTACTTCATGCAATGTCTTCAGTAAGAAACTGAACAATGTCAAGATCTGATTTTTCTTTGCAATATGATGAACCGCATTCAAAAAAGTAATGAACTGGCAGCTTCTGTTGTGGTTTAATCATCACAGACATTAGTCACTGAGTCTGTGCACTACTGGTCTTGAATTTCACATTGTACTCTAGGAATGCATGCCTTCAAATGCAGATCTACATCCAGGGTAGCCAAATTTACTGAACAATCTAATAATGTGAGCTTCACTAAATTACAAGACATATTTCCTTAATCCTTGAAGCATGAAAGGTAGGTAATTTAATACTAAAGTCTAAAGACTGTATTCTGATGGTTTATATATTTGACATGCCCATGGTTATACTTTCGCTGGAACAAGGAAGGTTAAGAGGAAACTAAGAGAGTTCTTCAGTTATGAAGTCATAATTTCATAACTTCAAATTATGAATGGTTAGGGAAAATTGAGAAACAACTAAACAGTTTCTACAATTCAGTGAGTGAGCAATGAGAAAGCAAAATTAATCACAAGAATAAACAGAAAAATAAGATTATTTTTATGCAGAGGGTTTTAGAATATGGAATACTTTTTTTAACCACATACTGCTGTTGAAGTTGAGGTCATAAACAGCATTTAAAATGGAATTGGATAAATATTTGAAGAAAACTAAGTGACTATCCTCTTTGGGAGGGTTATGTGGTAAGTGGTCTCCTTGGAGCTGAAATGCCAAAGTGATGTGCTAGATACCTCCATGGTGGTCTTGGTTGTTCCATTCCCAAGTCAAGCAGGTCCACAGTACACAAAGCACTGCTCATAACAGACCAGCCAGTCTGGTTTATTGGTAAGACTTGTAGTGACCAGCCACCTGGAGCAGGGTTCCTTCCCACTCACCTTCTGTTAACCCTGCAAGCCAAAGCCCTAACAGATAGGCACTATCTGGTCCTAGCTGGATAAGTAGCGGGAAGCTTGCCAGACAGTTCTTTCATTAGCAAGGTTTGCGGTTTTATCTGGTTAAATATGCACCCCAATGCATATTCTGGGAGCCCCAAGACTTGGCTCTTGCCAAGTTGCATCTAATACTGTACTCTCTGCATTTAAGTAAGCATGATGTGCCCCTCTGGGATAAAGTGCATATTCCATTCCAAACACGGAAATTTACATGTCTAGGTGGAATACATGGAACTTTCAGTTTGGTTTGAGTATTCTTAACCATGGTGATGGTTTCTGTGTGAATCAGACACATGGCTGCCCTCCCCCCCAAAAAAGAAACAGCAATTGTTATCAAATGTATGAAGTGTTAATACGAACCATAAATTTGAATCACTTCATTCAAACGGTGTGTATATATTGAAATCCTGGCCACATGATAGTAAAACTATTGCTAATTTGTCTTTTCAACTGCAATATACTTGTGGGCTCAAATGGCAACAGATTTCTATTTGGGATTGTTAAATGGCAGATGCGAGAAACTTGCCAAAACTCAGAAGAATATTTGAATGCATAGATGAAGAAAATATTTCAGATATCACTTTCTTTTACCTATTGCAAAACAACAAAAGACAATTCGTATTTAGACCAGCTCAACGGTACTGTATAATTTAATGGCCACTGAACACTCGTCACTGAAAATATGGCAAATAGAGGCTTTTGAGTTATTAGATTTTCTTTTTCTTATAATTAAGAGAATTATGCACACAAAATATGGCTGATTAATTTAATTTCCTTATTTTGAGAATTAAACACAAGGCCAAGACAGTAAAATGTGTATTTGACTGGCAGCACTTATTGCCTGTTTGAAAATGTTAAAATTTAACTTCTCCTCCCCTTCACACCCATTCAAAAATATTTCCAAAACCCATTACCATTCACCTCTTTTGGTTACATTTTGGACTTTATTGCCTCCTCTACCTTTTCAAAACCCAGATGTGGATTGCTTTATTAATGTGCTGTGGTAAACCAAACTAGCTTCCAAATATTACATGCAAGGTCGGTATGTTTACGTGTTAAGAAATTTGAAACTGTGCTGAAAATTTTCATAGTAGAATCTCAACTGCTCAGCTATAATATTTGAGGCTTACCTGCATCCTAACTTGTACCTCATTAACTTTCACATAACTTTATATTTGATATTTCAGCCCAATCAGTCTAAAGGTTCTTGGACAAATATCCAGTTGGATGGAGAAGTTGATGAGAACAGTTCCTCTCATATTTAATGGCTAATATGATAAATATGCTGAATATATGTTTTAGTGTTAGAACTGTAACATATAAATTTCATATATTTGCAGATTCTGAATGAAACATACACTATGTTTACTCTGGTGAATGTGTAAATCACATAATTTCTTGCATTGAAAAGAGAAAATGGTACACAAGCAATTTACAATCCAAAAAAAAGATCATTTCAAACAAACATGAAAGACAAATGTTATCTGTCCTAAATAAAACGCTCAAAGCTAATTAACCATAAGACACAAAGCATCTCTAAACATCCATGCCCTAATACTAGACAAAGCAACAGCCTGAATACTCAAGTGACTAGTTTTGTGAAAAATTATCTGTCATATTCCTTAAATATGATATTTACAAGAAACAGAATGTCCTGCTGGCTTTGACAATGTTCTTCCTCATATATTTCACTGGCATAAGCACATACTGTGTCATTAATTTGCCACTGTATAATTTGTAAATTTAAGATGTTTAAAAGCTCTGCTCTTCAAAAAATGCTTTAGTTTGCTTCAACTTTCTGAATAAGTGATTGATGGGAGACTAAAAGCAAATCGGTAAAGATGTGGAGTAAAACGAAACATGAGAAGGAACAGATGATCTGACAAAATTGGGAATCAAAAGTTGGATCTGGCTTGTGTCCAAGTCATTAGTTTTGTTGCAGTAGTTGAGTTTGTAAACTTGCCAGGATGACGACAGGCAGTGTTGATATATTAATAGTTCCACAAGGAAATGAGACAATTAAAATAATGGCAATCAAATTAAAGTCTGAAAGGTGATGAATTGACAACTTGATTTGCTTTCATATTTTACAGTTCTGACATTAACCTTGATGGACTGCATCTTTTTGGCAAAACTGTGTTCTCTGGATACTTTTAGAGTTCTGTCAAAAGCAAAGCTGTGGAAAAGTAACATGTGTCCTGGCCACAAATAATGTTTCCAAGAACTGTATGACAAAATATCCGAAATAAGTACATCTAAGTATTTAATCTCCAATTACTTAGCAGTAAATTTGATATTGCTTTCATATGGTTTATTTCTTAGCTCTCAAGATACAATAGCCTTTCATTTGCCTTATTTTGACCATATGTGCGATGTGTATTGCTTATTCATATTGAGATTATATTATTCCATTTAATTAAGTGAAAAACAGTGGGCTAACAGAAAGTGTTAAATTGATAAATACTTTGCATTTGTTATCACATGTAAGTGTGGCATAAAACGAAGTTGGACTTTGTTTTAATTTAGGGAGGGTCTTGAAATCTAGATACATTTTTGCCAATCAAACTGCTTTTTGGAAGAGAAAAGATTGTTAATGGAGATCTTTACAAACTTAAAAATTGCTTACCTGCATTGGCCGGGAGCACATGTGGGTCAGCACCTCTCTCCGAGCTACAGAATACTGGTCTGTCCCCAGGGTTAAATTTAAGCTCCTCTGTTTGATAAAAGCATAAAGTGCAACAGTTACCTTTGGGACAAGTCAGCCAAGACATATTTCAGTAAATATACATAATGAGAAGATATGTAATCAAAAATAAAAATGAACAGATAGTTAATTCCTCATGTTCCTGGTTGGTAGAATGCAAATATTATGAAGTATTATGAAAATAAAAAAAGTATTATGAAAATAAGCACATCATTATTTTGTTTTAACTGAACAGCTCATACAGCTCATCAGACCTTTTTGCTTTGGTGCTGACTTCTTGCTTTGATTTCAAGCACTCCTGAAGAACATTCATAAAATCCAAATATTTTACAGAATTAGAAAATCTGGTGCATTCTTTAGACATTTGGACCAATTACAATCTCCATTTAGAAATTCTGCACTTTTGATCAAATGCATCTTTTGCTAGATTATTTCTATGAAATATATATTCATATCCAACTTATAATAATAATCCTTGCATTTGATATAGAGTTTTTCACGTCTTCTAGACGCCTCAAAGCACTTCACAGAATATGCTGTAAAGTGAATTGACTATATTTGTGGGCGAAACACGACCACCAATTGCGCACAGCAGTGTCCCACAAACAGTCGTGGATTGAAAATGACCAATTTATTATTGTTTTGTTTTGGAGGGATTATTATTAGTTGTTGAGTATCAAATCAAAGTTGACAGTCTCTCATAACAATTGCAAGTGTCCCTGCATCTATCATTTTCACATTCAAAAATCCTGTTTCCCCTCATGTGATATTTTTACATCTCCATTTTTTCAGGTCCTTGGCAAATAAAGAAAATAAGCGAGTAATTAATGTATAAGCCTCAGTTTTGTTGTTTTGCATCTGAAGTTGACATTAAAAGTAATGCCATATTCTAGTGAAGTAATAATAAGCCTTGCATTTGATATAGCGCCTTATCACGTCTTTCAGACATCCCAAAGCGCTTCACTGTATATACTATTGTGAATTGACTGTATATTTTGTAGCACCTAGTCTGAATTTGTTACTGACATATATGGAAGATTGAATTCTATTCACATTATGCTAGAAGTAGGCAAGGAATTGGTTTAAAGGCAAGGAATTGAAATTCATTCAATTATGATGAGAATATGCAAAGCACAATTTTGTAATAAAAAGTGTTATTGCTTCATTTTCCATCTTAAGATGTATTGCTTATGAGAAACAGTTCTGAATTCAATTTGAAAGGAAATCTAGACATACCATGGAACAAAAATATCCTTCTTGAAAATCTCCAATCATTTACAAAAGCACTTATCCAGCAGTTTAAAAATAAGAATTTTCAAAATTGAACTCCCAATTATGTGTTTGATTTACGGAGAGATAGACCAGCACAAGACAAAGCAAATTATTTTGCTCACATGTAGGAACTCACATTTAATGCTCCTGCAGAACTGAAGTCAACTTCGAGTCCCATCTGGTCACAGAACTCAATGAGGTCATCCAGCATTTTTGTTTGTGGTGGTGGATGCCGACGCAGTAATGCTTGCTCAGGGAATGAATTGTAGATCTTGTGGGCTGCTGCCATATTTGCCAGCAACATGAATTCTTCTACTAATCTGGAGAGAACAAAATATTCGTGAAAAGTTTGAACACTGTTATCAGAATTAGCCACAGGATAGGAAAAGTTAAAAAGTGTAAACTTATACTAAAGGGAGTCTCAATCAGTAAGGATAACCTCCAGCAAGACATTCAAAGGCAGGGCCATTTCAGAGAAGAACTCTAACAAGAGAATGATGGAAGATGCATACAAATGTATAAAAAGTCAGAAGCTGCTTCATTCAAGAAATCACCCAAGCTCAAAGACCTGCTATTTTATCCAGGAAGAAACAATCATGTAATAAAATGAATTCACTATGTTTAAAATATACTGTATACAGCTTGTTAAATGCATACTTTTCTCTTGCATATGAATTAATCTGAAAACATGTAGTTTCAAAATTCAGGTGTTTTCATGATCATTATTATCATGCCGCTGGGATCTGGTATCAAATGGTCAGTACATTATCATTTCACTAGATGGCAGCATCCAACTGACACAAATTGACTTGAATTTCGGAGAGTAAAGATAAGACCATAAGAATCAATTTCTCCAAACATTGAACTACATCTTGACCCAAGACCTAAAGCAGAGTTGAAAAAATGATAGTGTGAAATATTGCCGCTTCCAGTTATATCTCCCAAATCATTTAGTCCAAAGGTTTATCGGGTAGGAAGCAACTGTGCCTAAAAACACACAATTTGTTTATGTTAGAAGTTCAAAGCAGCTATGAAGTTCCAAGAGGATGCATCAACTAGTACAATTATATTTCCTCAATCAATATTGGATTGGGATCATGATTCCTAAATGCTTTCTATGGTTGGCGAGCTAAGCAGTGTTCCACATGTATTGCAAACCTACTTAGACTACTGTAGATAATAACTGTCATGAGGGAATGAGAAAATATTAATAATGGACAGAGAGCGTTTAGGAAGCAATAAGCTTCACATCTTATATGTGTAGTTTCTCATCAAGGTTCATTATAGGGCTTGTTTTTACACTGGTGCAATTTCTTTTAATATATAAAAATACTTTATTCTTTAAAATTAATATGTTCAAAAATGTGCAGATTATTTTATGTGAGAATTTTCACTGTATGACTCACTATTGATTCATTCCATCAAAGAAGCTATGGCATTGGCCCACATTTCTTTCCAGCATTAAGTAGATGTTCTCTATTAAGACCACAAAAATAACCAAGTAGGTCATTTTTTCAGCTTCAAACAAAAGCCACGGTGACCACTTCAGTGTTCCATTAAGTGGGAAAGTTGTCATGTACTCAAGTGATCTTCAACATTCTGCCCACAAAATGTACAGTCAATTCACTTTACAGTATATTCTGTGAAGCGTTTTGAGATGTCTTGAAGACGTGATGAGGAGTTATATTAAATGCAAGGGTTATTATTATTATCTGTCAGACATTGGAGAAAAGTTTACATAGAGGTTTGTCAGCAAGCAATTTAAAAGGACTATTTCAAATGCATTTCTAGAAAATAGAGATTTTCTTTTAGAACAAATTTTAGAATGTAGCAAAAATACAATTTATGGAAATGTGACCTCATCTGCCCTAAAATGATAATTTTACATAAGTAAGAAATTGTTGAATAAATCTGCTATAGATAACCGTTACTTCATACTTGAGCACCGCCTTAGTTTGATGATATTTAAAGCATATCTAGAGGCATTTAGGATCAACAAAATATATTTATGGGGTCTATTTCTTGGAGGTTTAATAGACACAGCTGTACCAGGCCCATTTATATACAAATCTATCAATTCTGAACTCAAAAGCAAACATACATCAACAAAATGCAGAAATGGGCAGATTCTTTCTGGTGACTTTCAAAGTAATTCGGCAGATTCAAACACTGAGTGGGGTATCAAAGAGAATATTTAATGGTTTGCTTTATTCATTGAAAATGCTTCATATAAAGAAACTGGTAATGGCAATTATTTCAAGCCTTTTTTTGCAAAATGCAGTGAAACAGCAGTTGAACAGCAATTGTAGCTTTAGAAAATATACTTTTGTAAGGAAACAATACCTTGTCTACGTTTGTTATTTATTATAGAGAGAAAGCATTTACTCAATGACACACCTATAAATCACAAATTCAAAGCATTCGTGGCAATCCAACTTGCAGAATTAGTCCCCAGTCATTAATGTAAGTAAAGGCCTTAGCTTTTTGCAATTACATGTACTTTCAACAACTTTTGTGCTCTATGCATATTTAAATGTATTACAAAACTTAACACATGCCAAAGTGAGTAAAGTAAAAATAATAATAATAAACATCCTTGCATTTGATATAGCGTCTAATCATGTCTCCTAGACATCTCAAGGTACCTCACAGAATACACTGTAAAATGAATTGACTGCATGTTTTGCCATCGAAACGCAGCAGCCAATTGCACACAGCAGTGTCCCGCAAACAGATGTGGATTGAGTGACCAAATTTGTTTTATTTTTAATGAATTTTTACTCGCGGAAAAGCGATCCACAAATTCACTAACAACCGGGTTCCTTGTTACTGATAACAGAGGCATGTGGAGTAAGGCAACTTGTCTAAGGTTTCGCCTTGCCCGGGAATCAAACCTGCGTCCTCTCGCTTGCGAGGCGAGTGCTCTAACCACTAAGCTACAAGACAATGGAATGAAGCAAGCCCATACAGGATTTAATGATACTTTTTGAACTTCATAACTAGTTTGATCTGCTATTTTCTTTTGCAAACATTTTAGAAAACTATACTGAAATTATTATCACTTTATAAGCACCATAATAGAAATTAGATAAAAAGAAAATTACTATGATTGCAGAATGAACTACAGGGAATGCACATTTTCTCATCGCTTATTATTCTCAAAAGAGCAAAATCCACTCCTTTGTGAAAGCGAAAAAAAATTAAATCTCTTAAAATTCTTTATTTTCCCCCCTCCGTCCATGTATATAAACAAAACCGGAACTTGATTCAAACCGTTCAATTAACTCAGACTCAAGACATGTGGAGATTCAAATGTTGTCATTTAATGAAATCTGCCTGAGGGCAGAATTTAATAGTGATGGCTAAATTGGGAATGTCTGATAATGAAGATCATTACTCCACGCAATGTTCAATCTTACATATCAGACATTTACAATTTACATGTTCTCATGCTATGAACGTTTACTCATATTCATATAGGTTTACAAATGATTTTCAGACTGTAAATGAAAGCAACCACAATTACCAGCGTCATTCTCCTCGAGAATACAACCATTTTTGTCATGGTCACAACAAATTTACTGAAAAGCATAAAGATCATGTTCCTGGAATATTTTGAATCCAGAGTAACTCCAAAGAAATGATGAACCACAAGGAAATTTTGATTTTTTAAATATAATTGATTTAAAAATATACTTGTGTCGCAAGGTGTTGATATTTCTCAACATTGTCACAGGACATTAGCAAAGACCAATGTTAACATCCCAATGTAAAATAACAAAGTCTAATTGATAAAATACTTTATACCAAATTGCATCTTTCATCCAGTCAAAGAATTTTCTTTCAAATCTGAATGTATTTCTTTATTACCACACTCAATTTATTTTGGCACACACAATCATCAGAACGATATCTCTTCATTAAATCAGTTATAGGTTCTGTTATCATTTGGTATCAAGTGATTGAGAAGCCTTCAGTATTCTTCTAATTGTTTCCATTTTTTATTATACATACTCAAAATAATCAAAATAATTTGTTGGAATGCCCAACCTACATAACAGTGTGATTTTCATATCAAATATTATCCAAGTTACACTTACGATGGCCTGTCTATCACTGGCAATAGGACCAGTTAAATGCAATGTATGCTTTTAACCTTCCTGCAGTAGAGTGCTCCCTCTCTCGAACATGAGCACACGTCTAGCATGGGAGTGTGTGGGGGAAGGGTCCCGTGACCAGTCAGCTGCATGAGTGATTCTAAGGCGAGAAATGTTCATGAGAACAGTCATATCCAACCAGCCAGCATTCTGCATGTATATACAATACAGCCAGTTTGTATACACCAGAAGCTAAAAGTGACAAGACTGTCAGTTTTTTTTTCCTCAAGGATGCATTATAACATACGGTCTAATTTTATGGCCCTGAAAAACCACATTATAACCGGGTTGCTCTCATCATCATTATTAAGATTTCATCATTTTTGCCTACTTGATAATAGTCACTATATTTCAAGATTTTGAATTAGGAGCTGTGAAAATGATTAGGCGCATATTAGAATAAAATGATCATTGTTTATCTCTCAAAGAATGCAATTAAAATACCCTATTTTGTCGGAGTCTTGATAAGGACTCCATGATTTTCATATGGCATCCAAAGACTGCTTTCGAGAGGTGCCAGTGAGCATCAAAGCCAACTAATGAAGGAGGTAAGCAGCATTCACATTACTGATTCAAAGATCATATTCAAATTAATTTATACGAGTAAAACTATTCAATACTCCATAGTAATAGTCCATTTACAAACATCAAATGAACCAACTAAAATAAGCTACTTTAATATACTTCTTGACAAAACCTGTTTTCCTTTGATTCTTTCATTTATAACAAGAAAAGTTTGTTGAACAAGCAAAGCAAATAACTCTTGGAAGTCTTTGTGAAGTGAAAATCTGTTCTACCCTAAATTCAGAAGGGAATAAAGCACACCAAAGATGAACAGAAAAAGGTCATAAAGCACAAATTATACACAACAACTGATTTAAAGATAATTACACACCTGAGGACAATAATTTACACAGTAACGCATACTTTGTATGAATCATTACTTGAACATTCAGTCAATCAAAACACTGTTTATGATTTCAAGGACATTTTCTCATCCAACACAAAAACTCTCTATAACACTCACTCAGTAGTCCTGACAATTTTCCAAGTTAACTCAAGCACATCTGACATACGTCTGAACAAGTACTTATTACTAAAACCACGAGCTAAAGACCAGGAATTTTTTTTAATATTTGCAACTTACTGCATTTTTAGAATAT